GGGAGAAGACGACTGACTGGGGCTGACTGACTCGGGACTGACAACCAATGATGACGACTGACTGGTGCTTTAACAATCTTCTTAGGCTTTATCTATTCCATTGCAAGAGGAGAGTCTCTGTTCTCTGATCTCTGTTCTCTGTTCCCTAACTACAAGAGTATCTGTTTAAATACTACTCTATTTAGAATAATTGTAATATTAAATGATCCTTTAAATTGTAATGGTTTGTTTGAATTAATTTAGTTGGTATCTCACTCTTGCCACGACAAATTTTGCAAATCTTTGTTATTTACTCTTATATATTGGTTGACTACATAGTAGCTCTGATGGCTTATGACAGATATGTGGCCATATGTCGATCACTGGAGTATCACTCTGTAATGTCAGTGAGAAGGACTGCTGTGTTAGTGGCTTTGTCCTGGCTTGTACCTTTCAGCTGTGCAATTATCAGTGTAACTTTGACATCCACATTGCAGTTATGTGGCTCACACATAGAGAAACTCTACTGTGAGAACTGGGCAATCGCTAAACTTTCTTGTAGTTCAACAAAAGCTATTGACATTTATGGATTGATTGTTATGACCTTCTATATAGGGCACTTCCTCTTCATTGTAGGTTAATATGTGCAGTTGATAAAATTAGCTTTAAGATCCAGAGAGGGCAGGAGAAATTTTACACCGACATGTTTTTACAATTTAAGTGCTTGAACTCCTCATAAGCTTCAATGAGTAGCTCTTGCTCAGTTGGTCTGAAGTATGCTGTACACGTTTTCATTCTGTCAGCATCAATGAATGTGTGATTGGCCTTGTGGTCTTTTGAACAAAGCCACAAAACCATGCATTCATCCGAATTACTTACAGCTGAATTCACCTAGCTGCACCTGCTCTGCCTGGTTTAACCACTGTGAAGCATCAAAAGCCAGGATTCACTAACTACACTAGGCCAAGCACTGTTTCTGTTTGAAATAACAGAGTCATACCAGCTGTTGCTAATGAATGTTAACGCCACATCTTTGAGTGATGACAGGACAAGTTAAACTCACTGTTGTCAGCTGGTGGACACACAGACAACACCTGTAATGGAAATTACTGGGTTATGTGGTTTGTTTTTTTTATGCAATATACTTCTGTTTCTCATACTTGAAACTTGTGTCTGTATAACTGTTTTGGTAACACTGTAGGTAACAAGGTTACCTCCTAGTCTTAGGTGATGGGTAAATGGAAAATAATACTTATACTATGTATTTGTACTTTAGCTCTGTGTTTGCTTTTCTCCCAGACACTCAGCACACATTAAGCTCTTAAATACACCTGCACACCTACACTTCATACATACACATCCAGTCTCTACTGATACACACACAGCCTGTTGCCTACAGAGTTTAACTGTATGGGCCAGCTGCTATATACCTATGAAAAGGTTCCTAGCTCCCAATTCAACAGCCTCAAACTATAACACCTCTCCCCCTTTAAGTTCCAACTTTAGGGTGGAAAACCCTTGAAAACAGTATCTCCACAGGGGTACTGACTATTCCCAGCACATTCTCTATGACTGACTGAACATTTTGGCAAGAAATAAAATAGACAAAGGCAACATGGTTGTTCACTCCTTATTTCTCCAGACTCATTGTAAACGTTCAACCACACACCCCTGGCTGTTGATAACTGAAGATTATTTATGTGGTAAAGAGGCATAAATCTGTAACACCACTCAATATTTAGAGTGAACGCAGCCATTTGCTGTAGCTCCAAAAACAGAGTCAAACATCTTCCCAGATAAAACCATCAGTTGATGTCACATCAGTGATGGAAATGTAGCATATTGTGTGTGTTGGTGTACATGCAAATGGTTGTGAAGATTCATCACCTGTCATCTTTTACATTATACACATCCTGCACTTTTGCTAGTGTTTTGTTTTGTTCTAATGCAAAGGTCAGGGTCAAAGTGTTTATTTGTCATATGTACAGTGAGGAAACGTGTTTCCCTGTACAATCAAATTCTTACTTTGCTGTCCACATGAATGCCACACAGTACAAGTGAAATATAAAGTAGATAAGCAATAACACCAATCTAAATAGGCAGTGACACAAATCTAAGGCACTTTAAAGCAGCAAGTGAAAGAAGCACAATAAAAATACAACAAGAACACAATATAATGTAGAGAGAATATATGCTATGTGGGAGCCGTGAAGTACTGCCAGATGGGGTGTTTTTAGTCCTCCCCCCCACACACACACACACCCCACACCCACCAATATTATCATCCATTGCTATGTTTTGTTTTACTGTAGACTTAGTTCGATCCAGTGTATCTTTATATTCAACATTTCATTTGGTCCAGTAATTTGGTTTTATAACCAGATATCTGCAAAACTACAGCTGGACGTCCTGTTTTTGTTTGAGTTCCCAAACATTTCTGAACTCATTTACCTAAATAACCTCCCCCTTTTTTTACTTTGTAGTACTAAGACTAACATCACTGTCAGTGTGAGTGAATATTATGAACATGGTTGAAACCAATGAGAGTGGAGCTATTGATTATGTATGCTAACAATGTAATGCATGTTAAACACAAAACAACAAAAGGTCTCAAATTATAAATGCAATTGATGGCAACTTCTCTTAACAATATAATACATAATAAAATAAAACAGACCCCAGCAACAGGCTATTTTTTAAAGATTGTTTAAAGAAATAATCAAGAAGAAACTGTATTGGCTAACAGAAGCAGAACAGAGACTAATTCAGACATGACGTCAGAACTTGAACTCTCTATCACACACCTGCATTTAAGGAGAGACTGTCTTTAAACTCACAACTCAGCTGAGTGCAACACTGACAAACAATGACAATTTTAGCTTGCATCATGTCTTCTAAATACTGTTTATCAGAGTGATTGTATTCTTTTGGAAAATTATTATAAAATGAACAATGCATCTAGTATTGTAATATTTTCACTGTCTGGCTTCAATGCAACAGTCAACTACAGAGTCACACTTTTCACTCTCACTTTATTAAGTTACTGTGTCATTCTGGTCGTAAATGTGACTCTCATTTTAACCATAATCCTGGATAAGAACCTCCATGAACCTATGTACATCTGTGTGTGTAACCTATGTTTTAATGAATTAATGAACTTTATGGGACTGCAGGTTTTTTCCCAAAATTTGCTTTTGAACTTCTGTCTGATGTTCATGTAATATCATATGTTGGATGTCTTTTACAAATCTATGCCATTTACTCTTACACAATGGTTCACTATGTGGTTTTGGCTTTAATGGCTTATGACAGGTATGTGGCCATATGTCGACCACTAGAGTATCACTCTGTAATGTCATTGAGAAGGACTGCTGTGTTAGTGGCTTTGTCCTGGCTCGTTCCATTCTGCTGTATGATCATCGGTGTATTTTTGACATCTACACTGAAAATATGTGGCTCACACATAGAGAAAATCTACTGTGAGAACTGGGCAGTTGTTAAACTTGCTTGTAGTTCAACCAAAGCTAATGACATTTATGGATTGTTTCTTATTTGCATCTTTATAGTTGTGGGCCTCTCCATTCCAGCTTCATATGTGCAGTTGGTAAAATCAGCTTTAAAATCCAGGAGAGGCAGGAGAAAGTTTACACAGACGTGTGTGCCACATTTATTGTGTTTGTTTAATGTTTCAGTTGCTGGCTTTTTTGATGGTATGTACTCGAGGTATGGATCGGCATCTTTGGCACAGAGTGTGAAGAACTTCATGGCCATACAGTTTCTCCTGATCCCACCTATGCTGGACCCTATTATTTATGGGCTGATTCTGACTAAAATTCGAGGTAGAATGAAATCTTTGTGCATGATGGCATGTCAAAAAAATTGAGACTGTAATTGGCAGAATAAATCACTGTTTTATCACTGCAGTTCTCTTGTACCTCCCCTGTCAAGCTGTAATAAAGTTGATGACCTGAAAGACAGGTGGGTTTCACAATGAAATCGTCTCCATAATTAAAATTCCATTTGATTTGATTTAACTTTTCCTCAACTCATTAACAATGAGTGTATCTTGGGTGTATCTTTATGTATGTGATTGTAGTCATGTTCAAAAGTTTTGGCAGTGATACAAATTCTGTGTTTTCTAAATTTTCTGCTTAATTTTTTTAGATTTTCTTTCTACATGTTTCTGAGATATGATGGAAAATAATTATAAGCATTTTATATGTTAAGACTTTTACTGACATATCAAATTTACATCTAGAGTCAGTATTTAGAGTGTTGACCCTTCATTGTCATGACTTCTGCAATTCGCTTTGGCATGCTGGAGATCAGCTTCTGGGCCAAATCTTAACTGATGGCATCCCATTCTTGCCTTATCAGTGCTTGGAGTTGATCACAACTTGTGGGCTTCTGCTTATCCACTCGCATTTTGATGATCGCCCATAACTTCTCAGTCTTATTATTTCTATAACCTTGACATTGAAATTATGTGGCTCGCACACAGATAAAATCTACTATGAGAACTGGGCATTTGTTAAACTTCCTTGTAGTTCAACCAAAGCTAATGACATTTATGGGCTGATTGTTATTTCCTTCTATACAGGACATTTCCTCTTCATTTTAGGTTCATATGTGCGGTTGGTAAATGCAGCTTTAAACTCCAGAGAGGGCAGGAGAAAGTTTACACAGACATGTGTGCCACATTTATTGTGTTTGTTTAATGTTTCAGCTGCTTTGTTTTTTGAATTCATGTATTCACAGTATGGATCGGCATCTGTGCCACAGGGTGTGAAGAACTTCATGGCCATACAGTTTCTCCTGATCCCACCTATACTCAACCCTATTATTTATGGGCTGATTCTGACAAAAATTCGAGGTAGAATCAAATGTTTGTGCGTGATGGTAGGTGAAAGGTTTAAATTGGAACTGAAGATTTGATTTATGTAACAATTCCAGAATCACTTTGGCTAAACAGATGAGTATTTGGTTGTGTGATTCACCTCCTCTATCAGGCTGTTATAAAGTTAATGATCTGAATGAATTATAACATTTGAACATGGAAAACAGTTTTAAAATAACATTTTGTGTTTATCTTTCCACAAAATAACAGCAATGATGTTGGCTTTTCACTGCCCTCATAATTTGTTAAAGTGACAAAGAATTATACAAAGGTAAAAAAAGAATATCAATTTAAACTAAGTCAATACAAGACGGTGCTCACTACATGGTTAATGTTGCAACAAAAACCCCTCCTTTGTAATTGCAGGCCTTAGGCAATTATCACTGACAGTATTTGTTAATTGTGCATCAATATCACACAACAGCATTTATTTTACCAGTAAACTATCATTATTACAGTAGCCCCAATGACTGGTGTCACCATAATATATAACAAATAAATACAAGAAAAGGGATGTATATATTGGAAACCAAACTTTCATTTTTGTGCTGCCGAAGGACAGGTCAGTGGTTTCTGTTAAGTTGTGTTGTGGGAAATGAGCAAATGTGCAAAGAGAACAATGTATAATGCAGGAAAACACTACCAACGGCCATCGTTATGAGAAACGGCAATTTAGCCTTTTTACTACTTTGGACTCCAGACTGGCCTTGTCCTCATTTCATATCACCAATAAAACCAATTTTTCACCAGTCCATAAGCTTGTCTCAGCATTTGAGTCCAGCATGTTACACACATCCCTGACTCCACTGGCCTTACCCTCACCTGCAGCCTGGGTCAAGCCTCGTCTTTCTCTCATCTCTGGCTCAGCTGACGCAATGTATTAGGGTCTGTATACAAAGTAATAACTGAAAGTTATAGGTAAAACTACAGTAGGTCCTTGCTATTATTAGGTATTTGCCAGATGTTAAGTTTAAGCTCAACTGACGTCAGTGGGGTTGTACTTGTACTTTCTTCAGCTTCGACTGCAGTATATATTTTAAAATACCTGGACATAAAGTCCTTTTTTAACTTTGTCATTTCCTTTTCTGAGCACCTGACTTTAGTGACTGGCCATTTGTCAAGTTTACCAATGTGTGAATGCCCCATTACAGCAACTATTTTTTGAAGGGGGTACAACTGTTCTGACCAACTATGTAAAGGAAAATGAAAAGAAGATTTTATTTGACTCACTATGTTTCCACAAATATGTATGTTTGATAAATTACTAAGGAAGATTATTTAGGGGTTGGAGGGGCATGTTTCCTTGTACAATGAAATTCTTACTTTGCCATCCACATGAATGCCACACAATACAAATGAAAAATAAAGAATATGAACAAGTAACACAAAAGCTAAGGCACTGCAGCAAATGCAGAGATATAATAAAAATATACAAGAATATAATAAGAATATATGCTACATGGGAGTTGCATGTGCAGTATTCAACTGTCAATGTGCAATTATGCATGTGTAAAATGAGTGTGTAAACAGTACAGGTCCATGACATATTTCCTGGTAATAAACTCTTGTCAGCTGTTTAGGAGTCTGATGGCAGAGGGTGATGTGAGGCTTGTATGCAGCTGCTTGGTCATGGAAACCCATTCCTTGCAGCTCTAACTGCTCAGTATTTGTGCTTACATTAATGCCAGTGGAAGTTCAAAACACTTCAGCTATGGAATCGGCAGAGCACTGGCGACATTTGCACACCATGCTCCTTAGCAAATGGTGACCTGCTCTGTAACTTTATATGGTCTTCGCTTTGTGGCTGAGCTGCTGTTGTTCCTAAATATTTCCACTTTCCAGTATTACCACATACAGTAGACTGTGGAATATCCAGCAGGGATGAAATTTCACAGTTTTATTACAAAGGTGGCATCTTATCACAGCGCCATGCTTGAGGTCATTGAGCTTTTCAGAATGACCCCTTTAGTTTCAAAAATATTTGTAAATGGAGAGTGCATGGCTGGGTGCTTGATTTTATACACATGGCAGTTGGTCTTATTGAGACACCTGAATTCCTCTACCAGAGACCTGGGAGCTTAAGGGTCCTGCGCAGTATCTTAGCTGTTCCTAGGACTGCACTCTTCTGGACAGAAATCTCAGATGTTGTTCCTGGGATCTGTTAGAGCCACTCTCCCAGTTTGGGGGTCACAGCCCCCAATGTTCCTATTACCACAGGGACCACTTGTGCCTTCACCTTCTGCATCTTTTCTAGCTCTTCTTTCAGCCCTTGGTATTTCTTGAGCTTCTTGTGTTCCTTATTTCTGATGTTGCTATCGCTTGGGATTGTTATATCTATCACTACGGCCTTCTTCTTCCTTCTTCTTCTGTTTGTCCACCACTACTATGTCCGGTTGGTTGGTCATTACCAGTTTGTCAGTTAAGACCAGAATGGCACAGCAACTTAATAAAGTGAGAGAGAAAAGTGTCAAGGTTGAGTGTTTATTGTCATATGCACAGTGAGGAAACGTGTTTCCCTGTACAATGAAATTCTAACTTTACTGTAAACACAAATGCCACACAATTTAACAATTTAAGTGAAATATAACGCAGATACATAGGTAACACAAAATCTAAATCTCAAAATGTAAGGCACTATAAAACAACTGATGAAAGAAGCATCATGAGGAACACAAGAACACAATATAATGAAGAGAGAATGTATGCTATACAAATAGTCAGCAGTGAGTGTGCAATTATGCATGTAGGAACTGAGTGTGTAAGCAGTACGGGTGTAATTATGAGTTAGTTCCTGAGTCGGCTGTTTAGAAGTGTGATGGCAGTAAGAAAGAAAGAGTTTTTCAATCTAGAAGTCCTGCATTTCACACTTCTGAACCTCCGGGGTGAGAACAGTCCATGCTGGGGGTGGGTGAGGTCTTTGAGGATGGAGGCAGCTTTCCTACGCACCCTGCGGTGGTAAATGCTCTGCAGATCAGTTTCTCCTGATCCCACCTATACT